CATATGTTTGTGGTGACAGAGTGGAGCAGGAAAGTAAATACAAAAAACAAAAACAAAAGTGAAGCCCTAATTCCCATTTTACCTAACGAATTGTGTGATATTTATTCACTAAGCTTGGAATGGCACAAAATTAATTAAGAATTAAATATTGGACATTTTATATAACATATGAACTTGATTTGTGAATTTGTGAACCCAGATACTGGCTGGCTTAGTCACTTTTCTGTTAAAACACTTCACGAAGCAAGGTTTTCTTTTACTCAAAGTTTATGGTAGAAAAGTCAGGGCAGCAAAAGCTTGAAGGGGCTGTTCACACCTCATGCAATCAGGAAGCAGCTGCTCACACCACATCCAGTCAGGAAGCAGCTGCTCACACCACATCCAGTCAGGAAGCAGCTGCTCACACCACATCCAGTCAGGAAGCAGCTGCTCACACCACATCCAGTCAGGAAGCAGCTGCTCACACCACATCCAGTCAGGAAGCAGCTGCTCACACCACATCCAGTCAGGAAGCAGAGCGCAGTGAATGCTTATATTCAGCTTATTTTCTTGTTTTATGCAGTCCAGGATTCCCAGCATAGAGAAGACCCACCGCAGTCAAGTTTTCCTATGTCAGTTAACCTAATTACAATAATCCCCACAGACATACTCGGAGACTTACCTCTCAGGCAATTCTAGATCTCTCTAGCTTGCAGGTTGATAATGGAGACTAATCATCACATGATTTTCTGACCTGATCATAAGGCTTCCCTTTAAAACATACAACTAACAACAAAACCACCTGTTCTTCCCCTGTATTTCAAAACCAAACTCAAACTCTGTTTCTATTTAAAATTTTGCTTGTAAAATGTTGCATTAGCTCACCCTGGGCATTTGAGAAAATAGGAAAAAATGAGATGTGAGACCAAAACCCAAAGCAGCACTTGATTTCCTTGTCCACCGGGCTGTTGTGTTTACTTGATGGCATTAAATGCATCTTCTGTGTTCTGTGATTGTCTGTTTCCTCCAAGAAACAGAAAGAACAGAGTGATACATGTTAGTCTAGTGATAGGACTTTCACTCAGCATTCCAAATAAGACAGAAGTCTAGTATCGACACCCTTCTCTGGATCTAAAACCTTATTTTTATTTTTGTGTGACCTCTTAAATTTTGGCAGCTTGATTGTTGAGGGCAAAAATTCAGAGAACATTTGTAACGCCTATGCACAGCCCAAGTTGAGTGTTTTTTGGGACCTACATTTTGTGATGTTCCTTACACTGTAATGGAGTCTTTACTTTCTGCTCTGTCACTGTTGTCATTTTACAAAGACAGGGAAAATGCTTCTACTTCAGGACCGAACTCTGTTTCATGTGAAGGAAAACTTCTACAATACTGTGTATTACTGATCGGATGCCTCCTGTGTGCCAGGTCTTCTCCTTGATCTCCCACAGGCTGACTTACATCTCATCTATATTCTTGAAAGTGGGAGCTAAATTTTAGACCTGTGTTATGAACCCTTACCTTTATACCCATGAACTCTTTATCTCAGTTCTCTTTCTTTCCTTTATTCTGTGAGTATAATTTCCTTCTTGGTAGCTGTATCATTTGCCCAATCAGAGCAAGCAGAAACAGCTTTTTATATCCTTTTAGCTAATTATTAGTCGCCCTTCTTTTTCTGGGTAAATGGTTCAGAACACTAGATTTCTTTCTCTCTTGAAAACAATGCTTGTTTATCCCTGGATGACAGATCCTGGAGGTCCTATTTACTGTCACCCCTTCCCATCTTGGGCTTCTTTTCGCCCAGCATCTGATTGTCAGTGAGTTCTTTTCATCTTTCTTCTTTTTACCTCTTCAGTTTTGCTGATCCAATTAAACTTGTAATATACCTCAAATTGCTATTAACCTTAGGTCTTTGTATCTCTTGAGTACAGTATTTTTATGACAGTCAGTGGTTTGCATTGACTGATTGGCGGGTCTAACAATAGGTCTTTGTTAAAACCAACCGCTGACTTCTGTCCATTCTGTCCAGGCAGAACTCTAATCTCCTGAGGAACGGGACCAGTAGTATCTGCTAAAGAACCTCAGTCAGCCCTCTTTCCCTCATCTTGCTTGTCTTCTTTGCACCGCAGCCACACCGTGACAGTTGGAAACTCCCAAGTCCAAGGCATGGGGCTGAACCAGCAGGCTTTCCCCAGCCCATTATCCTCATTCCCACTCCATGTGTTTTGCATATGGCGTTTGGGAAGATTATTAAACAAAAATGGAATAGATTAAGAAATGAACATAAAAGAATCAATTCTCCTGAACTGTGGTTGCATAATGGAAATCGACTGCCGTGAATGAACCCATGCACTGAAGTTATGAACAGCAGAGTTAATGCACTGCCATGAGTTCATCTTTATTATTACATTACACCTGAATCAATTGATAAAGTAGCGTTTTTTTTGTAAGCGAGGGATGGCACTTAATTGAATAAAAGTCAATGTAATTATATTAACAGAGGCCAATAGTACTGCTGACAGCGGAAAAGGGACACTGTTGAGTGGAGTGCCAGAGCTGGTCTCCACATTTCTGCACATCGTTTGGTTGACAGATATTGAGGGCTGGTACATCATCTAATTAGATTACAGACTTCTTCTGCTGTACGTGAGAAATGAAGAATAAATCCCTTCCTGGTAACATATCAGTGGAGATGTGTAAATTCACAGGTCATCCTATGGGAGAGGTGTTCATCGGGGTGATCAGTATGCCCTCTTGTCAACTTTAATTTATTCTTCCTCATTTAGTCTGTTTTGATGCAACTTTTGTGTGTCTGGCTGCTGTTTGCTCAACAGCAAACCTAGGAAGCGTTAGCTGCAGATGTGTGAGAAACCACACAGAGTTCTAGACTGCATTCAAATGTATGTTTATGAAACTAAGAAAGGGGGTGGGGTGTTAAAAAGAGTGAATTAGGATAGGGTTTCATGAACTGCTTACAGCTGGCAGAGTGTTTTATCAATAGCGTAGTGGTACACAGTTTAACTATTTCCATGTTCCTTCTTGTTCTAACTCTGCTGGTGTCTCCCAACATGTCATCAGAAAGACTTCACAGTAGGCATTTCCTGCACTCTGCTTAGCCACATCCACTTGAGTCATCTGACATCTGACACCAGGGAAACGGAATGTCAGAACAGGCTTGTGGGGACAACTTGTGTGTGTCCACATTCACATATCCACATACTGCATGCGTCTGTTTGGAACTCATTCATGGATGCTGCTGATGCTGTGAATTTGGTTTATTAATTTGATTTATGGTTTTTAGATTATGCAGGTGATCTGAAAATCAACAACATATGAGATGATCACTTATGACAGAAAATAATTTTGTGATCACATTTTAAATCCCTATTTTATTGTTTAAGTTTTAAAAAGCTGGATGTCTAGAATGTGAATTTGTTTTCTCTCTCTCTTTCTCCCTCTTTCTCTCTCTCTTTCTCTCTCTCTCTGTCTCTCATTCTTGCTTTCTTTTGTGATCGATTTAGCAAAAGATTAGAAAGCTGATCTTATTGTCACAAGGTAAGCTCAGCCTTCCCAAGTGCAGTGTCCAGAGGGCTGCCACCCTCCACCCCTCAACCCAGAGTGCTGATTGTCTTGTGTGGAAAGGTGGGAAGCCTCTCCCTCCTTTCTTGCCCTGGAGGCACATACCTCTCACACTTCTCTAGGAAATGTTAGCTGTGTTTGTTCCCAATTGGAGTGACTTCTGATTGTAACCAGGAGGCCTCCACTCATGAGCTTAATGCTGACCATTTAGGTCATTTCTATCATCACAATTAACTTCTCTAAGATGTCCAGCCTCCAGTGCTGGCAAGTTTTGTTTTCCGGTTTCTTTATCACTGTGTTTTTTGGAGGGTAGTTGTCAATTTAGGTACTTGGCAAACATCTGAGCCTTTGCAGGTGGAGAGAGGTATATGCCCAAGGGCGCTTTAAAGTCAATGGGGGGTGAAATAATACAAAGGCAATGTTTTCAGATAAACAGTGACATGGGCTTTGTGAGACCAGAGGTCCCTGCAGATGCTCTGGGAATGAATCTCACCCTTTTTAACACAAGCAAAGTTCTTGCTTGTAGAAGTTAGGGGTTTTGTTTGTAAACTAAAGGAACTCTTGTCATTGTGCTTAAAATTTTTAACTTGTTGTGCTTTAATTTTATCCTTTTGGGTTTTTTTGGGGGGGGAGGTAGGGGTTGTAATTTTAGAAAATAATTTATCAGATTATGTTCTAAAGAATTAGAATTTAAAGTAGCATTATTTGATGAAGATAGTTCACTACTAAAATATGGTAACTTTTGGAAAACTAAATGTATTTTGCTATTAGATTTGGGTGTGATTCCAGACAGGTTTGAGAAAAGATTCATGTCACACACACACAAAAAAATCTTTTAACTATTTTAAGTTACTAATTTTCTAAGACTTTTTTTTTAACTGAAAACATGAAAGATAGGATAGTAAAGAAGATGATTTTTTTAAAAGTTAAACCTAAATTATGTGGACAATTTTTTTTTAAAGATGAAGATTTTTCCCAATATTTACTGTGCTAAAAAAAAAGATTTATTTGCTGTTCTTTTCTGATTTTAAGTAAATTTAGACTATTCCATTTAGACAGAGGTTTCATTCTTTTACCCTGTTTCATGTTTATTATCCTATACTTACTTTATGTATAAGACATCTGCTATGAGGTCCTCTGTGGCTGATGCACTAACTGAACAGCCATTGAGATAAGAGTGCCTGAGTTTGCATTCATCCTGCCCGTGAAGAGCTTATTCATAAAAATGGCATCAATGGAAAGTTCCCCTTTCTGCACCTCCCACCTGCACTCAATCCTAGGTCCTGAGGATGTAGGGAACACTTGCTTTTATAATGGTGTAATTAGGAATGAATGTGTTTATTTGGTGCTTGATGAAAGTTGAATCAATTTTTAAAATGCTCTCCTTTTTCTCACCCTTCCCCACTCCCTGTGCGCCTCCCCCTTCCCTCTTGTTTTCCTAGACACAGTGCCAACATAAACCTGCACCGTAAACTGTTGACCAAAGAACTCGATGACATGGGTCTGGACTCATCGCAGCCCTCCCTTAGCAAGGACCTCCGGGATGAATTTTTGATGAAGATCTATGGTGCCCAGCACCCTCTGGGGCTCGATGTCAGGGAAGATGCCTCCTCTCCAGCAGGGACAGAAGACTCCCACCTGAATGGGTATGGGAGAGGCATGGCGGAGGACTACATGGTCCTTGACCTGAGCACCACCTCCAGCCTCCAGTCCAGCAGCAGTATCCATTCCTCCAGAGAATCAGATGCAGGCAGCGACGAGGGGATTCTTCTTGATGACATTGATGGGGCAAGTGACAGTGGGGAATCGGCACACAAGGCAGAGGCCCCCACCCTCCCCGGAAGCCTAGGGGCTGAAGTTTCAGGATCTCTTATGTTCAGCAGCTTGTCTGGGAGCAATGGTGGGATCATGTGCAACATTTGCCACAAAATGTACAGCAACAAGGGGACTCTGAGGGTCCACTACAAAACTGTGCATTTGCGAGAAATGCACAAGTGCAAAGTCCCGGGCTGTAACATGATGTTTTCCTCTGTGCGAAGCCGAAATCGGCACAGTCAGAACCCTAATCTCCACAAAAACATTCCCTTCACTTCGCTAGATTAGTCCCAGAACGGACACTACAAATGCCAGCTCTCACCAGGTGGCCTACATGTTGGAACTGCCATAGCCAGTGTGTGCTTCCAGAGCGGGGCACGTGTGTGTGTACGTGTGTACGCCTTTATGTCTACACTTGTGCACACATATATTTTCTTTTCTTTAGATAAAAATGATAAACACTAGGTGCTTTTGAATTTTTTTCTTTTCCTTTATAGTTTTGGGGAAGGGTGGATCTTTTACTTGGGATAAAAACAAAAGGACCCCTTTCAACACACACACACACAGGAACACACATATAGTGTTCAGCTAGCCCCAATTTTGATAGGATAATTCTTGGTCTTCTCCAAAGACACATTTTGTTGTACCTATGACTGTTGCCTGCAAAAAAATAAAAGGGAAAAAAAGAGAAAAGAAACAAAAAGGAACTTCTTATAGTTGTCTTTTGTGAACTTTAAGGTTTTGAGAGAATCTTTAATTAAAGCATGGCAGATTCACCTGTAAATATTTAGCCTTGCGAGGCCAATGATGTAAAACAGTTGTATTGATTGTTGTTTAACTCTTCTTTAATTTTGACAGTTACATCCAGCTGTTAGATATGCAGGAAATAGTTTGCTGGCTAGTTCTATTCATTTTCATTAGCATTAATGCACATTTTCTTTAAAAAACAAACAAAAAATAACAAAAAAAAAACATGGTCTTGTTTTTACTACCTGTTAGATATAGTGATAAAGACGTGCTGGCATGCTTCGAAGCACAGAGCTGATTTTTTAAAATGTCCTGTACTAGTACATAAATCAGTCATGCACTTTTTTCAGACACTACAAGGGGATGTGTAATATCCGTGCTTCTTTTTATCCTTAAACTATTGCCATACTTCAGCAAGTATCTTTCTTTAAAAAAAAAAACCCACTTGTATAACAATGGTCTGGTCAGTAAAGGGCACAAATGCCAAACAAAAAGTATTAGTGTTAACACAAAACTGCCAACTTTGCACAAGTTTTCAGAAAAGAAAATACAATTAGTCACTCAACATAACCACAGGCCCACTTTTTGGCCACCAGAAAACTCGCTTTCAAAAAAAACAAAACAAAAACACGTGGTGATTCTTTTCAAGTGCCGAATGTTATTAGAATCCACATTGCATCCTTCCTCCATACATGTTAAATGACATGAAAGGAAAACAAAATAAAGTGGTGTGAAATAGACAAGGCATTTCTTTTGTAGAGGCAGGATAATATTTCAGAACACAGTAGTGCAAATTACTCACTGAAGGAAGAAAGCTGAATACAGTAAAAGTTGAACACTCATTTCCAAGGCCCTAACCCTTATCCTTTGAAAAGGAAGAAAAAGTCTGAGCTGGGTTAGTCTGTTGTATGGCTGTCTCATTTGTCACAAATTCTGCAGTAGCACTGCAGTCAGGCCTGCTTAATAGACAAAATCAAAAGCCAGTTCACAGCAGCTGTTCTTGGAAGCTTTGAAAACACGTGCTGAACTTGAATTGAGCAGCACTCCTCTCCGAGCAAGTGAGCAAGCCGCAGAAGGAGAGGGGAAGACAGGATCTCACTGTGTAGTGTTTTGTGTTTCCCCACACGAATTTGTCAGAGAGAAGTGAAAGCAAGCCTGAAACCAAGCAATTGAGAATGAGAACAAGGGGGAGGGGGGGACTGCTCCAAACCTTTTTGTTTTGTTTTGTTTCTGATGTTTACACATGTTGCCTGAGCTGGTTAACCACATCGGCAGCCTCTGCTACCACAGCATACTGACTAAATGATGATATTTACTCAACTTCGTCTGCAGCCAGAACTGCTGGGGTGTGCTTGCAGAATGGGTTTTGTTATCTTTTTTTTCTTTTGGGGGGTTTTGGGGGTAGGAGGGTAAACACTAGTTTTGTCAAACTACATAATAGAAAGAGAATGTATTTCTTTTCTGCATTTAATGGCCTCAAACATTTCTCCCAACAGTCGAAAACTTAGAAATACCCTCTGTTTTAATCTTTCATATTTCTACTTCTAATATTTTTTTGTGTTCACATCAGCATTCACTTCCGTTAAATTTGCCAAAGGAAACTGTCAATATGTTTCTGTTATGATTCCTGTGCGACTTATTGTACCTCACAGTATTTATTTTTTTTCCAAAATTAAGTATCATTCATTGGGGGTTCCGGATTTTTTATTTTTGAGAATTTCTGAGCAGTAGGCTCTTAGAGATGTGCTAGGTGTTCCTAAAGCTTTATCTTTGTCTCCTTCTGAAGATGCCATGGGGTCCACTTGGTCCTTCATGCATTCCACAGAGAGAAAAGACCAAAAGCATTTTCAGTACAAAAGAAACTATCACACACAATGTCTGTTAAGTGACAGATGTTTACGGTAAAAAGCTGAGGAATTAATAATAACTGTTTCTGTTTCCTTGTACCTTTTATTTCCCTAAAACTTAGTTGCTTTACTTTGGTGTCATGTTAAGCTGAACAAACAGATGTGTTCTTTTGTTTTATAACATACAAGACTCTGTACAGTATGTTTGTGAAAGACTGAACTAGAATAATGAACATTTGTTTGCAAACATTTGGTCCTCTTAGCATTCTCTATATTGCGCGGTTGTCTGTTACCAAGTGCTGGATTCAAAGAGGATTGAAACACATTGTTACAATCTCATCAGAAAATATGGAAACTATCATTTAGATTGTGTATGGACTTAAACACTACACCTTGTTTTGTGAACATTAATATGCATTTATGCTTGAACAACTTTCAAATGTTACACTCTTAGAGACAGGAGCATTCGTCTCTACAAAATCAGCATTTAGTATATTTAATTGAATGTCCAGTGAAATGTCAAATGGTTCTGAGTGAGTCACCTAGCTGTCAGGAGTTACAACAGACAGCAACCTTGGCTGAAAACAAGCATTTGTCACTTGCCACACACCTTGCTAATGTCTGTAGCCAGCTAGAAAAGGTCCAGAAATAATGAGATTCAAGAAGTGGCATTCCCTTGCTCAGAAACTAGAGTGTGTACTTGTTTGTCAGAAACGGTAATAGGACCTGGGCAGTTGGCACTCTTTAAGTATGCCCCCTATTTGCTCATGGGCCCAATTGTTATGGTGGCCTCTTCACAACTAAATATTGCAGTATAAAGCCTATTTGCACAAAAAGGACAGGGGAAGTCGTTGGGTATAGTACATGAAATGTAGAATCATGAGATGTTCAGTTATACTCCCAAAGTGTGGCTTGTTTGGGGGCATGTCTGAGTGCAGCGCTTTGACTTAACCACTATTTCTCCTGAGGATGGGAGTCCCCAGGCTTATGTGCAAAGGGATAGGATAAGGAGATGAGCATTTTGACCAGGCACACTCTTCATCTCTGCCCATTCCTGCTCCTTTATTCATTCATAGGAGTTTCCTGTCCCCCCAACAGTTTCTAGCTACATCCATTCTTTTCTAGCTGAAAACTAATAGGAATATGGGTGTTCATCCACATAGCATTCTCCCATTTGATTGATTTTTGCTCAAGTTTTATCACTGGTACATGATTAGGCAATATTCATTGTGCATGTTCTCCAGCTAATGTTGAAGTATGCTGTTTTGATCACTTTAAACTATGTTTTTGTAAATATTAGCAAGGCTGGTCCACTTTGGAGAATATCTGCATGCTATGGAGGGGGAGAAAGAGGGCAAGGAAGAATATAGACCATAAGTAATCGGGCTTTGGAAGTTTGATAAAAGAACTGCTGTTCTTGTTCTGCTAGTAATTGTGTTTGAGAAACCAGCTCAGTGTAACTCGTCCCCAGTCTTAGTGCAGCTGCCTTGGTCAGCTGGATCCTTTCTTAAGGTCTATGTGTATAAACTTTTTCCTTCTCAACATGACTAACGTCTTTTTAGAAACCAATGTTAGCATAGCACTGTCACCATCCTAGTTGTGTGAATTCTTTGTTCATGGCTTTCCAGTAAGAGGAGGGAGGCATTTAATCAGTTACAGACCATTAGTGCACACGTTGCTCTTAAGGGGAAAGAAAAGCTCCAAATCTATGAAGACCGGCTTAGAAGCATGCCCCCATTGTACTCAGGAGAAACCACACATGTCACCTAGTAGCATGGCATCTTATCCCCTCTTCCTCTCTGTCCTCCATAGATAATATGCCAGGCAAATGGGCAAGAATGGCGACCCTTGGCAGTTCAAACAGACAAGCCAATAATGAGACTGAGATGGACACAACATACCTGAGCAGTCTTGATTGAGTCAAATCTGCTGGCATTGGGTTACAGTGACAGTAAATGGGATCCACCTGTCCTAAGATGTGTTGCACCTGCTATTGTAAAGGAACAAGACATACAGGAGAGAGTCATATGACCACACCCTGTTACCTTAGGGCTTTTAAAAATTATGACAAATTCAATGACTTTGCCTTTCCCCAAACTAGAAGTGTTTAAATTAGTGGATTTAACGATTTTCCTGTCAGTCTTTGTTTTTAGGAGGGATCTAAATGAGCAAGGAGGGCTATAAAAGGCAGGTGCCAAAAAACGCTGGGGGGGGCACAGCACTTACAGAAGAGACAGGCATTAAGTGGAGAACCGGCTTTGGCCCTGGTTTGAGAAATAAAAACAGTTAATGCATTACAAGAGTTTGTTCAGGAGAAAAATCTATGTCCTGCCTTATGGTGGGTGCCAACACACCCTCCAGTATCCTGCAGAGTACCCCATTACGAGGTGAGTCACTGAGCACATCTTGGGGAGGAATTATGAACGTCTTAAGACAGGCATTCTACGTCAGGATAGTGAGAAAAGGCAATTGTGAGTTTGGGGGTTGCTGTCCTTTTAAGTGAGAAGTGATGGATGGCCCCGGGTTCCGTTGAGAACCACAGAGATGTAAAGAGTCACCTAGATTAAAGGCCAGTGATGAAACCTACTTTTTTTTTTTTTTTTTTTTTTTTTTTTTTTTTTTTTTTTTTTGAGACAGGGTTTCTGAATAACATTCCTGGCTGTCCTGAAACTGCCTTTGTAGACCAGGCTGACCTCACACTCACAGAGATCTGCCCATCTCTGCCTCCTGAGTGCTGGGATTAAAGGTGTGCCCCACTGCTGCCTGCCCGGCATGAAACCTATTTCTTACTGCAATGAGTGGAGAACATGCAAGTGACTTGCTTTTACACACTGCAGCAACATAGCTGGGATCACAAAGCTGTTGATTTTATGATCAAAATGAGAGCTGAGGTACAGAGGGAACTAGCTTCCTTTTCCCCTCAAAATGTTCTTGTCACCGTTAAAATGTCTAATATACCCCAGGCTCATGCCAACCCTTCCCATCATTGCAGAGGCTCTCACTGTAACGACATTATGTAGCTCCTCTTAATACAGCTGACCAGTAGGTCATCTTCCATGTTCTTGTCCACACTCCCAGCCTTCCTCGCCTCCTTTTATCCCCAGTCTTCCCACATTTTACACAATTATTTTCACAGCCCTTCTGCAATAATTGGATGACAGACACTGTCCCTTGGACATTTGTTTTTTTAAAATTCCAAATGCCTAATAGCAAAAGGCTAGAAAGTCCAACATTTTTTACAAGTGTACTAAATTGAGTCTGTTATTGTTCATTATATATGTGTGTGTGTGTGTGTGTGTGTGTGTGTGTATAAACATATTTGAAGCAACACACTATAGTTGTTACAAAACTATCTTTATTCTTCTCCAAAGTGTTCTTGTAAATTCGTTTGACCTTTACTGAAGGAAAAAAAATTATATAGGGTTCAGGACAAGGCTCAGTTTGTAACAAATAGCACACCATTACAAAGAGGAAAGGCAAAAGCCAGGGCTGAGCAGCAAGAAGCTTCGGTTCAATTTCACCTCATATCTTTCTAATAACTTACTTGTCACTTTATTACCTTCCAGTAATGTGAACGCTGCTGACAAGACTGTCACACTAACAGCAGACAACACCCTCTCTACTTCAGCCCCAGTTCTCCTGGCTACTTATTGCCCTGGCCCTGAAGGGACACAAACTAATAGTGTGCTTTCCAGTTCAGCACTTGGCCATCAAATATAAAAGGATGCGTAATTGCCTGTTTATCCCTGGTGAAGGGGAAATTGAGTAGAGGGCCAGGCTTTGCCACCAGTTCCCTGCTGTACACACTCATTCACAATCAGCCTGCCTCCTCCATCTCTCCTGTCTCTGTCTTTCCCCTTCTCCCCCGCCTCCCAGCCAACATCGAAGCACATATGCACACCTACTGTGTCATTGGGAAACTGTAGGTGATTCTACACACTCTCCCCAGTTATTCAGTGGGCAGTAAAAAAGATGATGTTTTACATAAAGGGTCAGTAGAGAGTCACAGTCCAGCTGTTCTCTATTTCTTCGAAACAGGAATTCAATTCCATGCCCATCCATGGAATTGGGAGTGGCCATGCAATTGGAGAACATTTCCCTGCAAATCAGTGGCATAAGTAAGATTAGGTGCCTGGATTCTGTGAGGAAAGGATTAAAATACTTTTCTTCCTTGTCAAAAAGGGTGCATGCTGTAAAAAGTTTGGAGTGTTTACATCTTTGGCATCAAACCATTACACTTAATGTATATGTTTATCTTTCAATAACAGATTCCAAATCCATATTTAACAAGATGGATTAACCTTTGCCAAACTGAGCTGACAATCAGAATGAAACAAGGTTCTATTCTTTCAACTTTAGCCATCAGAACAATGAAGATCTTACATGTGAATGGTAAATTCTCCATTTTGGAAAGTTTAGAGAGGTCCAATATAGTGAGCTTTACAAAATCAAAGCACAAAGGCTTTGTGCTTTGATAAAAGGAAGTACAGTTAAAATGTTATGTTCCAGATTACCTTGAACCCAAATAATGTGTCATGTGGATTATTTCTGAATTCAAGACTACTTAAAAGGTAGTTTAAAAGTTGTTAGTTCATGATGAAATGCAATGTGGGCTGTATTTATACACCTTCCACATGGAACTTTATGCTTCCTGCCAACTGCCATGGCACACCCTGCAGAGGTAGATCACCCTGCTCTGAGCAGTCACTGGGGTGTTAGTTGACTGGGGTGATGTGTGGAGGTGTTGTCTTTGTTGTAGACTTTTGCAAGGAAAGGAACACAGCAGATTTCGGGACAGGTAGCATCAGGTCTACGTTGACAAAGCTGTGCTAAGTCACTTCTTGAACCAGTCTGAAGACTGGAAAGAAAAGCACTTTGAAAAAGGACTTTGAAGACAGTTTGTTGACTTGGTATTTTTTTTACATTCCCTCGTGTGTTTATAATAAGCAGTTACCAAACATCTTGATAAAATTGCAATTAAAAATCAGTTGCCAAAATTGCACAAATTCTGCTAGCAAATACTAGCTTAGTCCCCTGAGCTCTAAGTAACAGGGACATGTAAGAACATTTTGTAGTTGTAATGCTTTATTTAGCTTTCTTTAAAGACTCTTTGAAAGAAAGGAAGAGCAGAAAATGGTATTTTAACAGAAATGGAAAGAAGTAGATAGTATAAAAGTATATTTCTTCAAGATAGAGAGAATTTAAGTGCTATACCAAGATTTTATTAGGCTTCCTATTGCCAAATATGA